TTTACAATCAGCTCCTCAGTTGCTCATTCCACCACTGAGTTTACAATGACTTATGGGTAGAAAAGCCATACTAAGTAATTTACTACACTGCACTGGCATAGTAGATCATATGATCGTCTGATTCAAAATGGCCAAAACCAGTCCATTTCAGCTCATTAATGCCTACGATATCAGTCTTTACGCATTCTATTTCATTTCATTTTTGACAACTTTCAATTTGTCTAGATTCTTACTACATACATTCCATGTTCTGATTAATAATGGATAATTACAGCTATTTCTTCTCATCTTGAGACATGTCACATCAGCAAATGGGCATCCCGAAAGCTTTCCTCTATGCACATCATTAAGGTCACCTCCACTCTGAGGTGGCAGCTCTTCGCCAGTCATGTGGAGTGCCTTCTGACCCAAAGGGCTCATCTTCTGGCACTATATCACACAATGTTTATGGGCTATTCATAAAGTTTCCCAGTAATATATCAGGCATTGTTTCACTGCTATTCTTAAGGTTTTCATTGGCCAGTTCTTTGAGAAGTGGATGATCTCTTCCATCTTCCGAGTCTCTCTCAGTCTCGAGGCTCCACTGAAACCTGTCCACTATGAGTAAACCTGCTGGTATTTGAAACACCGGTGGCATACTCTCCAGTCTCACAGTGACACTCAAGCCACCACAGTAGAACAAACTGTCAGACAAGTTTGTCTCCCCTAGTGTTCTAAACCGCTTTGCTCATTGCCTGGTCTCCCCCACCTGGCTTGCTTACCTGGTCTGTCCCCGAGGCAAACAGGTACCTTCTGCTGGTCCCCCGGTTGGCTTACTATGGCTTGTGCCCGGGGGCAGCACCACACCAGCAGACACCCGTCTTCCACTGGTCCCAGGGCTGGCTTATTGTGGCCTGCATCTGGGAGTGGCTCCACGCACGCAAACACCAACCTTCTACTGGCTTACCTGCAATATTAAACAAAGAAACAAACAAAAACCAAACTTCCTGTCGTCAAGGAGTATCCAACTCATAGTGACCCTATTGCGTTTCTGAGGTGGTGGGTTTGAACCGCCAGCCTTCTGGTTAGCAATCAAATGCTTTAGGCATTATACCACTAGAGCTCCTTAGTTATTGGAAATTTATGAGTAATTAAAAATAAGCTTTTTTGTTTTATTTTATGTTTTGTAAATTTGGTAAATGTTGTGAGTTGGTCATTTGCCAATGTGGGGAAATACTACAATGCCCAAATGTTAGCAAAACATTGAAATTTACTTTAAATAACACTAAAGGAAAATAAATATAAATATCATCAATATAAAATGTATGTATTTGTAGAATTATATTTGACTCATGAAAATATTAAAGAAAAATATTTATAGAATACCCACTTCTGAACTTGTGATTTAAAAATGGAAAATGAATTAAAATCTTACTAAAAGAATATATGCATAAGAAATATATTATCATATCAGTGCTATATTCATGGAGAATTGTCTTTCAAACAGTTTTTGGGCAGACTCTGGTATATTTAGATATTTGACTATTTAGTGACTTCTCCATTCTGAGACCTGTCTTGCTTTTGTGAAGTCCTATGGAAAGTCATATGAGGATACCTCTCCAGACAGAGAAAGTTTCCTATAGGAAGTGATTTCTAAAATGACTTGGCTAAATTAGTAGCAAGCTAGTTAAAGAAGCCAAGGAAAGTAAGTTGTTGGCAAAGGAAATCACACATGGAGAAGCAAGCATAGTTAGTACTTCAGATTGCACAAGCTAGAGTAAGACTATCTGTGGCTCTCCTAACTTAACTCCTGTAAAGCCTTGGGTATATTACTTAACTTTAGTTACTCAGTTTCTTTGTCTATAAGCAGAGAGTGATGATACAGTCCCCTTTCAGAGGTTTGTTTTGAGGATTACATTATATCTACTTGTGATTTCATTTGAATATTGCTTGGCACATAGTTAGAATTTATTGAGACAAAAATTAAGAGCTTGGAAGTAAATAGTGGTTTTTAAAATTGCCATTCCTCCTAAAGGAATTTCATTTGTAAAACAAATAAAAATAATGAACAAAGAAAATTTTGCAGCTGAAGCAGAATATGAGGATCTGGAATCCCTCCTGCTGGGACCCCTCTCTCCTTGGGGCCAACCTGGATCACATTTGATGGGATGAAAAGCAGCACATGGGTTTCAGACAAACCAGTTTGTGATCCATTCCAAACTCTCCCACTTATGTGACCTTGGACAAATTGCTCTTTCTCTGAGTTTCTATTGTGCTTCTTAAAATATAGGTAATATAAATGATTGTAAATAAGGATTAAATTAAGTGATAGGGTTTTATTGTATAGCCTGGAGATTATCAATGAATCCAGTGAGTTTAGTAGTAGAAATCATTTAAGAGAGCTTCTTTGGTAATTGGACATAGTGGCCACATTACTTCTGGGTATCATGAGGCCCTTGTAACCATTGGCCCACGTGTCTGGATGTAAAGGAATATCTATGAGGGCACAGACTAAAGCTAAGTGAGTGGTGGTTTGTGAGAAGTGACTCATTGCACCTTGCTTATATCATTAGACTAATAGGGCTGTGTTGTTGTTGTAGACTAATATTGGACTTTATATTTTACTTGAAAATTCAGCAATACATGTACCCTAAATTACTTGACCCCTAAATTCTTTATCTAAAAGCACCATAGAGTCTTTCTGATACTTGACAGATAATAAGATCTACTTGCTATCATTTATAAAACTACCCTGTCTTTTAATTTTTCCAAGTGGTAGATAGCAAGTAACTTTTTAGCAAGATTGATACTTCTTCATAAACTCCTAGTCTTAGTCTTAAAGGAGCTCTGGTGGTGTAATGCCTAAGGCATATGACTGCTAACCAGAAGGTTGGCGGTTCAAACCCGCCAGCCACTCCGTGGAAGGAAGAATGGGTAATCTACTTCCATAAAGATTTACCGCCTCAGAAACCCAAAAAGGGATTGGAGTCAGAATTGACTGGTGGCAATGAGTTGGTTTTTGTTTTTGAGTCATATCTTTATACTAAATGATCATCAGTGTGGCTAATCTTTCTCTCATATTATTTTAACATATCATTCTAATGAAACTTCAGAATTAGGCTGCATACCAAATATTTCATACAAACAGTTTTGAAGTAGAAAAAAAAATGTATTCAGGTTAAGATGAGTAACTAAACTCTTATCGGGAAATTCCAAATTGTAAAATTATTTATAAATGATAATTATTGAAAATATTCTCATTCAGCTTTTATTATTCTGCTATATTTTCATGTTTCATCCTTATGGAATTTGGGAAAACAGAATAGAGCTCTATACATTATGAAATAATTAGATTTTCATTCATTCATCCAAAAAATGTGTATTGTTTCCTATGTGCAGGCAATGTACTAGGGTCACTGTTCAGTAAAGAAGTCAAATAAAAACAACAAAACCACTGTTCCATGTGTCAGTCTTCTAGCAGGGACATTTGGACAATCATAAGAGATATAAATAATTCTTACATTAGAAAGTGGTAAGTGCTATGGAAGAAAATAAAGTAGGGAAATGTGATGTTTCATTTAAACATTATTGGGGATTTTTAATTACTACACTGTTTATACTGTACTAATTCATACTAAGGCACTTGACTGCTAACCAGAAGGCTGGTGGTTCAAACCCACCAGATGCTCCTCGGAAGGAAGATGGGGCAATCTACTTCCATAGTGATACTGCCTCAGAAACCCAAGGAGGGGTCTCTATGAGTCGGGTCTGATTCAATGGCACATAACAACAACAACAACAAATTCATACTTAATATTATAGTTTTTATTTAATTCCTCTTTCAAACGTTCATAACTTAATAAAAATAATAATGCTTGAGACTTCTGGCATATGTATTTTGCAATTTTTACTAGAGAAATTTTGAAGAAAGTTCTCCACTTAAGAAAAGAAAAATAACTTTTACCTTCCTACTCCCACCCCTACTGTCTGGGCAGTATTTCTCTGTGGCAGCGTATGCCTAATACGTTAATTCTCTGTGGTTCTTTCTTATACTTCGTTGAGTTGTAGTTCTGAGTTGAGTTGACAGTCTGGTAAAAGTTCTGTATGCTTTCACCAGAAAATAGGTCACAAGTCATCCCAACTCTAAATGGTAACCTCTCAACCACTGCAGGTGTCAACAAAGTAGTCATGATATTGCTAGGCTCTTATAGTTCAGTAAGTGAATGTATACTCTAGCCCACTGGTGAAAACATGGGTTATAATCCATCAGTCAGTCCATCAGTCAATCAGCACAGGTCAGTGTTTGCAAAAATATATCTCTGGGCTTGTAGGTATTACCTGGGGGAAAATTTGCACTAGTCAGATATGTTTTGGAGGAGTTTAAAAAAATGCAAGAAAGAAATTAAACAGATTTCTCTGCCATAATACTTCTCAGTGTCTTTAATATGTTAATACATATCATGAATCTCAAAGAGTAGGCATTAGAACAGAGCACTTGCTGATTTCCATGGCCATGGAGACCACCATTTCTCCTCAGTGGGTAGGAAGTGTGGGTGTAGGAGCACGTGACAAACCCAAGCAGCAGTGAGTTGGGAGAGGCAAACTTGAGATGAGAGTCAACATGAATAACTCACCTGAAAGACAGCATTGAAGTGCTGTATTAAGTGCATATAAAAATGAACTTCTGTGGTCCGTGTTTTACTTGACTGAGTAGCTCTGAGATCAGCATTCCATTTCTGATATGTCACTTGTGTCAAAGAAAAGTGAGAACTCAAATCATAGAAAAGCTCTTATATAGAAAGAAAGCATCCAGTTTTATGCAGAATGTATTTTTTAAACTTAATTTGTGCCAAATCTTGCTTCCCTGTGAGACATTTTATTTTATTTTTAGAGTGCCAGAGCAGAACTGGAAAGGCTGAGGCTCAGTGCAAAGCATGATAAAGAGTCTGTGGACTCCGGCTTAAAGGAGAGAGCTTCCATTGTGGCCCACTGCCTGGAGCACAAGGAAGATAAACTTCGAACCCGAACCAGGAAACATCGTAGCTTCAACTGCCTGGAGGACACCGGGGCTGAGTTCCCTCATGGGCAACAAAAATTCCATAAAGGCTTAAAGACGTTACGAAAGACCGAGGACAGAAACAGTAAAGTGACTTTAGACTCCGATAACAAATTACCATCAAAAGTCATTGAAGAACTTAATGTAGTTCTACAACGGACACGAACGCTTCCAAAAGAGTTTCAAGATGAGCAGATTTTACAAAAAGAAGTCAAATAAATTTTCCCGCAACTTATGTTTCTTATATATTGTATACAGTGTTTGTGCACAAACCAGAAGCCACCCTGTAAGGTATAGCTTTTACTACAGGGTAATTCCTGGTTTGTGAGATTTATCTATCTGTATGTAAACATTTAAAGAGCATTTTAAATATTATGTATATATGTGATAAGTGTAAGATTAACTTTATTTTGATCGGAAGAAAGCTTGTAAAGTTCAACTGTTGAACCTTGTGTAAGAAGACATTTGGTTACTTTGAGTAACCAAGACTTTTAAAATAGTTGGCCAAGTGGTGTAATATAGGAGCAGAAATCTCAAGCTGTACTGTATTATATATAATACTGTGTATACATGAGGCCATAAAAATATATGTAACACATTTTGCACTTTGAGAAAATTGTATATAAAGTTACCATATGTTTTTTGGTTTACAAAGGGTCCATCCTAGGGGACAGAAAGGGAAGTATGTTGAAAAAGGGGATGATTTGTTTTATTCATACTAAGGCACTTGACTGCTAACCAGAAGGCTGGCGGTTCAAACCCACCAGTCACTCCTCGGAAGGAAGGTTGGGCAATCCTACTTCCATAGTGATACTGCCTCGGAAACCCAAGGAGGGGTCGCTATGAGTCGGGGCCGACTCGATGGCAAATAACAACAACAATTTTCATCCAACAGATGTGAATAATGGCACTCACCATTCTTATGTATGATGTTGGTGGACAAGCCACAGTACACATTCACTACACTTCAGTTCTTTGTGGGTGGCTGCTAAGAGGAAGCTTACACTGCACTGGAGAGGTTGAAGAAAGGACCTGGCACTGACCGCGTTTTGCACTGTTGCTATACCCAAGCAATTTCTTAGAATCCCCCGTTTTACTTCTGGTACGAACTGAATTCATCCTCACAGCGTTTTGTTGTTGATTTTTTGGTTATTGTTTTCTTTTGTATGTTTCTTTGCTATTATTTTCAGAAAGGTTGGAATGTCTTTCTCTGGAATGTCAGAACAAGCTGGATGAGCAGAACGTGGCTATGTCAGTGGGGCATGGCTTCCCGTACTCATTTCAGGGCCTCTGGTTCACCTTTGGAGCCCCTGGTGGTGCAAGTGGTTAACATACATGGCTGCTAAGCGTGCACAGGTCGGAGGTTCAGGGCTACCAAGATGGACCGGGGAAAAAGGCCTGGTGACCTACTTCCAAACAAAATAAGCCATTAAAATGCTATGGAACACAGTTCTGGTCTGACACACATTGGGTCACCATGGGTCAGAATTCACTTGATGACAACTGACTGGTGGTGGTAGTAGATCACATTTAATTTAGTCCTTAAAAAAACAAATAAGTAGTAGTCCCTCAGTCCACCTAACTTTTGTTGTTGTTAGATTCAGGTTCATGGTGGCGATGCCTAGTAGGTGAGCCGGTAATCGTTTGTCCCACTCAGGGATTCCAAATAACGACCAAACCTCCTGTAGTCCTCCAGATAGCCAATCAGGGATTTTCCTGAGACAGACCGTACTAATTCTAGTTTGTGTCATCATGTTCTTTGAAATTTTATTAGGTTTGGTGAGTTTTGACATTAAAATATATTTTAGGAAGCTAAGCTTTTTCCTAGGATTTCTTTTTTTCCATCTGTTATCAGAATTCATATTATGTAGAGACTCATTGGATCCTTCAGTCAGCCCAGTAATACAGTGATAAGCTGTGAAGTTCTCCAGTAGAATATAAAGATCTCTTAATTTGCTGGTGATAAAATGATAGTTTACCATGGGCTTGTAATGTTTATTTTTTAAATCCAAATAAATTGAAGTTACAAAAAAGGAAAAACTGCTGGTCAGTTTATGAAATAGGTTGACACTGTTGGCACTCCTTGGCCACCTTCCCTTAAAACAAGAAATCGTGGTAATCAGGGAGAAAAATTGATCTTAAACTATGACTTCTAATATTTTTATTTTTATTATAAAAGAAAGAAAGGGTGTGTGGCAATTGATACATTTGAATTTGTTGGTCTGTTTGTGTGAAGGTACCTGGAGTTTAACCTGCCTCTTCTGAACTTTTCTGATACCTAAACTGAAAATCTAAGAGTTTGTGCAACCCTTCCTTTCCTGTATAATTGTTCCCTTTTTTCCAAGTGTATGATAAGTATTCATGCTGACCTATCATATATTTTGAGTAAAAATTAAAATTGTTTTACAAGTCCACTTGAATGTGACTGTTGTCTTTCTCAGTGATTTTCAGAAGTTGAAGGTTGTTTTGAAATAATTCAAATATATTTTCTTTTTTTACAGTATGAATTTAATATATAATTCAAACTGGATGTGTTTTAAAAAAACATTATGAATATTGTTCTATTTAAAGTGATGAATATAAGCAGACCTGACAGAACAGATTGATGCCGCTCTGACTTTCATTTCAATAACCTAAAGTTGATTGAGACATGGTTTTTAAATATCTGATTTCTAAACACACCATTACCTGATGACTCATCGAAGTAGCACTGAGAATTCAAAATGTAAGAAAGTCATTTAAGGGAAAATATATTTCATGTATATATTAGCTGCCAATTTGCATTATTCAGAATACAATTTTTTATTTTAAAATATATGTAAACTATATATTGTGAAAGGAAGTATTTTGGAGAACATGTCAAATTCATTTAGACAAGTTGTAGCATCCAGTTGTTTGCATGGCTATTTTTTCAAACTTGACAGTCACTCTGGGGAGAAAATGATTTAAATTTGCACCACCTCATCAAAATTTTCACTAAGATTTCCTATTATTCACTCAAGACAGAATTAGGTTTTATAACGTGAGCATTGTCTGTTTTGTGTTACAATCATATCTTTAATCATGGAAAAGCAGAACAAATGAATCTTGCAGGTATCTAAAGTTCATCTTTTTAAATCCCATCATTATTTAAACAATTTTATGTTCATAATACTGCATTTTGTATATCCTTATCTTTTCTGCCATGGATACTATATATTACATGTAAGTAGGTGGATTTTTTTTAATTCAGATATCTCTGCAGATGTAAGACATTTTGTGAATCATTGATTAAAGTTTAGGGCCCAAATGTCATGATCTAAGACGCTGGAATAATACGTACTTTAGGCTTTTAGTGACAACTAATTTATATGTATAAAGTACACACCTGGCCCATAGTAGTTCAATGTTAGTGTTTCATGTATCAATTTTCTTATTTGGTCTAAGTTAACACTTCTTTCTGCTAATTTTCAACTACTTCAAGCAGTTTTTTTTTCCTAATTCTTTTCAAAATGTCTTATGAATTAATAAAGCAGATCCCTGAACTTTTGTGTTAATCTCTTAATATAGATAACTGGCTGACAAAATAAAAATATTTGCAAATAATAATGCTTGCCTTCTTATTCCTCAAATCTCAATACCTTTCATTATATCAGAGTAACAACTACCATAATGAATAATGGAGGATAAGAGAGCCATGTTGAGATGTGACTTCAGAGAAGTCAACTAGCCAAATAACTTGAATGCTGAAACAAAATATTACAGCATAAATAATTCAAAATTTTGACTCAGCAAAATTGCCATTGGGGCTTTCCTATAGAGAGTCAAATTCTCCAATACTGAGGACCACTATTTCAGCATAGTGAAAGTTCTTGATCCTCCACAATATCTGACAAAAAAAAAAAAAAAAAAAAACTCACTGCGGTCAAGTCAACTCCAACACATAGCAACACTTCAGGACAGAGTAGGACTGCCCCGTGGAGTTTTCAGGGCTGTAAATAGAGAAGTAGATTGCTCCTGTGGAGTGGCTGGTGGCTTTGAACCACATACCATTTGACTAGTAGCCAAATGCATTTAACTATATGCCACCAGAACTGCTTCAGCTTCTCATAGGAAAGAATATTGCTAATTTTCCGACAGAAAAACAGAGAAATCTGCAATTGAATGACTGAACATTACACTAGGCTAAAGAGATGCAGTCTTTTCAATCAACTCCGATGAAACAAGCCATCATCCCACAGTCTGACAATTGGAAGAATACAAACCTTCATCAGGTAAAAGTGACATTTGAATCACATTGGACAGGATATCATCTTCCCTTCCATTTGTTTGCTTCTGTTTGCAGCAAAACTCATGGTCAAATTTGTCTAGCTCACTGCTTTCTCTTTTTTCCTCATTTTCCCTTGAACCATAATTCAAGCTTTTTTTTTTCTCCCTAATAGTCTACCAAAGCTGCTCTTGGCAAGGCAAGAATAACCTCAATGCCATAACTGATGGTCGGTCTTCAGTCATCATACTTGACCAATCACCATTTGTAGCATTTCACACAGTTAATGACTCCCTCCTTTGTGGAATATATTCTACTATTGGACTCCAGGACACTACTGTCTTCATTTTTTTTCTTCACTGGCCAATTGTGTAGATCAGCTGCTGGAATAGTTATTTCTGTATACTCTATTTCTTTGAGGAACTAATCCCATCTCATTGTTTAAACTTTACATCTTCTGACCATCTAAAATTTATGTTTTCAGTCTGGACATGTCTATTGACCTCCATATTTTGTATTTCCATTTTAGTATCAAACTGGCATCTCAAATACGCCAACATTCTATGACTAAAGCTCTACTTGGTCCTCACCCTTTCTATTCTACTTTTTCCTACCCCTTACCATTTCCAGCGCCATTAAAGATTACTAGAGCTGGGATATGAACATGCACAGTCTAGCTCAAGAGTCCACACTTAATCTCTTCATTGTATTGCCTAAAAAAAACATCATATTTAACCTGAACAGTTTTCAAAAGACTCCTATCTCCGTGATCCCAAACTGTTATGAGAAAAAAGTTCTACATGATAGAATTTAGGAAGACCAACTATTCATTCCTTGCAAATGCCCTTTTCAACACTATAAATGTCAGCTACACACATGGACTTCACCAGAAGGAATACACAGGAATCAAATCAATTAGATCTGTGGAATGAGGTGACAGAGAAGCTCTGTATCAGTCAGAACAAGGCGAGGA